TCTGGCAAAGGGGGCAACGATTATTCTGCTTCACCCATAGCGACATACAGCAGTTGTGAAACGAGTGATTACATTCGCCCCATACAACTGAAAACAAATATGGTAAGCAGCATCTCCAAAAGAGCCATTGTAAAGTCATATAAATAGAAAAATCTATTCGGATAAAGACTTTTGGAATGCGTCCTACTCTACATCAGGCAGTTTAAACAACGAGAAAGATTTTTCCTTCTGCGGACTTACTAAACAATTTTTGCCAGTCGTATCGTCAAAGAAACGCTAAGCTGTAGAATTTATAAATTTCCGTTGTTACGCATGAAGTTTGTCAATTTAACATGATCTGGTTAAAAAGGCTAACAAAACATAACAACGAGCAGGACACGAGGCTGAAAAAACGGAGTAATCTAGGGCAGCTTGATCAGGTTTTAGGTACTAGTACGAATCATCATTACACTTTAAAATAAATCAAGCTTCTGATTAAAACGGAAACTTTGTTTAGCCATAAATCTGTTTAGATTTTTCAGCCTTACGGATCTGTCTGCAAATCCGTAAGGCACAAATGAATCGTGCCTAAGATGGACCTGTTGATGAAATATACCAGTTTGCGACAAAGTAAGACAACAACATTATGACAAATAATTGATTTTTGAAAATGCCCGTAGCTAAGCAGCGGGAGTGTCTTCCAAAGATGGTCCAAGCAGAACGAAGCACCGGTTTCAATTTATTGAAATAAATATGTATTTTTCTGTCAGTTTTCCGGAATTAACACGGCTTAGGAGCACTTTCCCTTTATTTCTAGTAGCCTAGGTAACCATTTCAGCAGGCCAGGATCCCTTGGTATTTAAGCACCTGCAGTGCATGGATGCAAAAGCGTTTCACCGAACAGGGCCGATCAAACCTGTTGAGACACCCACCAAAATGCCACTACGCATAGGCACATGCACTCGAAAAATAGCTGGTTGCTGAATAAAATGCTAAAATAAGTGACCAGCTTAAACGGTGCCCTAGGCTACTAGAAGCAAGGGGATGGCGCGTGTACACCATGTAAAATCCAGAAGATTAACAGGAGCATGTTATTTTTACCGGCGATATCAAAAACTAGCAGTTTACCGGTAAACACATAACGCCGGGGTTATTTCGTGTAAATACGCATTCCAGTTTGATTTACAGCTTCAATAAATTAAAGACGGACTGACAAGTACACGACACTGTCCAATTACGGGCAAGATCCGCAACGGTCTGCATATGATGGAGGCGAACCACGCACAGGAATGAACCAGAGTAATATTCTTCCGTGCATCTGCACCTGCAAAACCTGACAAACTGCATCTACCTCAGAACCCAAGCCACAAATGCGATTCTAGTAAAGCTCGTCATCTAGGGGTAGGATTAATGCACCAAGGTTGACCCCTCCAGCAAGTGGTTCACCACCATGACAGGCAGTATCACTGCAGATCTTGTTCAAGATTGGACAGTGGTCGTTCACCCGTCAATCCGCCTTTAATTTATTCTAACGAACTATAAATTAAAACAAATTACACATTTATTTCAATAAATCATGTATGAAATTTAAATTCAAAACAGTGCCGCATCGTTCTGCTGGAAACTTCTTTGGAATGCACATCACTTACTTTAATCGTAACACTACTTCACTAGTGTATGGCGTCTTAACGATACAAAATTTAGAACACATCAAACTGCCCTTACGAATAACTTAAACAGCTGGTGAAAATATGAATTTCATTCGTGGAAGGCTCTCGCATAATTATTAAAAACCGTGAAGCTAATGAACTACTTTGTATTTCAGAAACCACGGTTCTAAAGATTTATGAAAAATAAGTTAGCGGAAACCTCATCGCTGACAAAGTAGTGTCTCAAATGAAGCAGAGACGACCACCTACATTGATGCATAAGTTGTACATGAGCGTTGAATAATCAGGTAACTAATGGAGAAACAAACTGAGTTAACGTACCTCTCTTGCGCAATAAAGAAACAAATAGAAGCTGCTACCAGAATTAGAGTTAGAAGTGCTGTGTCTTCTTTAACCAGCTCTAGCTTCTTTTCAGTTAGAGACAAGATACTTCAGCTTCTAACCGCAGTCATCCGTTAACATTACAAGTTCTACCTCGAATGTACTAAGATCTTTTAAGAATATTATACGGCCAAAGATGAGCTAATCATCGCCCTAAAAGGATGAACAGTGGATCCACTGAGAGTCATGGTTCGCACTTGCTTGACTGTCAAGCACGAGCAAAACAGGAAAACCGTGGCATAGTTTCGAGTTTTTCTGACAACAGTTCGAAGCCTCCCTTGTTAAAGAGAAAGGCAACGCATTCTAAACATGTTAAAGGACCTAAAAATAGCACAGTCAGGGGTGACATTATCTTTTCCCATTGTTCGACCATCCTGGTATGGGAAACCGTAACATTAGCAAATGTCGATGCTCTGGTCCGAAGTGCCTCCAGAGTCAATGAGAAAGACACGCACTGCCAATGTGTCAAGATGACGGTCTACGTGAGAGCTTACTTAAACTTAAACCTCATTCTAAACATAATACTCGAATCGAATATAGGATGAAGCGGTAATCTCTAACGCTAACTGCATATTATCACATATTATCAATCGTGGATAACGATAACACATATTATCAATCGTGGAGAACGAAATGGAACAGAGCGATGGGAATAAGCATTCAACACCAGTCAATGCTTACCAACACATTCGTCCTGTCGGTTTTCTCCTTGACATCGCAGGCATGCATCTAAAACAAACAAGTCAATGCGTAAGAACGGTATCACGTGATGAAAATAGTATAGCTACCCATCAGATGGACACGACAGATCGCGCAAGTGTCGCATTCGACGTCCCAGGACCACATCGCGACAGCGTTCCATTTTTTAAGAGTAAACATTTTTTCCGGCTTGCCGTCGACCGGCACTGAACGCTGGACGCCGTCCATTTCCTGCGAAATGCTTTGCTCCATCAAATCAGCCGTTCAGAAGATCTCCATCGCTGCTACAAAATTGCACCTAAAAACGCTGATATTCATTCACAAAATCACGACGTAAATGTACCATAACTGACTTACTATCAGATATCGACAGATCTGAAGGAAACATCTCAGAATAAAGTCGATAATGATTTTCATTTTAGTCAGTTCAAGTACTTAAAATTAATTATTTTGCGCCACTCTATTTAGTTTAGTCAGTGTCACTCTTGGTTTACCTTAGTTACCCTTAGTTCTCGATGGGCACAGATGCAATGACTAAAGAACTCTAGAAAGCAACCCTATATTGTATGTTGTGAGCAAAGGATGAATGCTGATTAGTGAAAGCAGTTGAAGTTGAAGTTGAAGCAAAACCTAGGCACAAAAAACAGTTCTTGAGAAAAACGGAGTTCCGCTCAGAAGAGGCAAGTCGGAATACACCGTGGACTATTTCAGTGGACAGAACAGAACCAAAGCTAACGAATGAGAAAGAGAAAAAGGAAGTATGCTGTTCGAACCCATTAATTCAAGTATCCAGATTCTATCCTTCAAGATAAGTGGGAAACCGATAGTGAATTAAGGAACGGATTGAAAAAAAAACATGCTCATAAATGCGGAGAGGGGAGAATGGCGCATGGCACGATAAAAGATACTCATCGTACTCAAGGGAACTGCTACAGAACGAGAGTAAGACCAGCACTTCAGTACGGAGCGGAATGCCTCGCTATCTTGAGGAAACACGAGCAAGAACTGAACTCAGCAAAAAGATACTTCAGGAATAATTTCGTAAAAAATTTAGCACTGATTACAGAAAAGCTTATCGAAAGCAGGCGCTGTTGGTTCGGCCACCTGAAAAAAAGATTAAACGAGTACGCTAAAAATATAAAGAGAAGAGGAGAAGACCAAAGAAACGGTGAGCAATGTTGCATAACGACGATATCAAATTGTGAAGACTGACCGAAAATTTTACCAATGGCTGAAAAATACTGAGGCAGTTGACTGGTACAGCGAGCCCCTGGAACACGCTTGGAATAAAGCGTATCACCCTCTTGTTAGAAAATAAACAAACATGAGCTCAATCTGTTTGAAAATAAATACGGAAGATGGCTCCAAACTTTTTCGCTACAGCATTGCGGGCAAATTTATGTCAAAAACCTGAGACAATCTGAAAATCCCTCGCAAAAAGCGGTAACAAGCATTCCCCCAATCAGCTGTAATCATCGTAAAAACCTGCCACGAAACCTGAAGCGATCACTAAACCAGTCACTGTAAAACCTTAATCACCCTATGCATCAAAAATTTTTCCCTACATCGATTAGATATAAGCTGATTGATTGTGAATCCCTGTTAAAATGGTAGCCTACGGGTAGAGAGTCGCTACGGAAATCTAGAAAAAGTCTAAGAGAAAAGCAGCTATTTCCAAATGAAAAGTGCGCCCCACAATTCAGCATTTTTACAAGGCCATATCTTCAATATGATTCGAAACTAAAGTTGCATATAGAAAGTGACATTCACTTTATAGACTCAAAAACTCATTTGGACTCTGTCTTCTTTTTCAATAAAAGCGATGTTGATTTAATGCGGCCATGTACTGCAGGTGCTAAAACTCTATGGAGCCGTGGCCTGTTTAAACGGTCCCCTGGGCAACTATAAGCAAAGTGATGGTGAGATTATGCCGTGTAAATTCGGAGAGGATACGAAATGTCTAGTCTTTACTGAAACCGACCGTTACAACGAACAATACTGACCATCCTCAAGACAAACGATGAAATGGGGAAAGCCAAGCAGCAGCACTTAAAAGTAACAAAAGTCGGCCGTAATTTCTGGGAGCGGTTGCTCGGCTTTTCCCATCTCACTTTCTGTTCTGTAGATTGCTATTGCGGTTGGGCTGAAACGTCGGCAACATGAATAAAATTTTAAACCAAGACCATTGAACTAGCATCAAATTGGTTTTGTACATTCGTTCATTCAGTGTCGAGGATCTATTGGGCAACAGGCAGCTATTTTAGGCTAGCCCACTAAGTTGTCTTTCTCGAGAGTGCATATACCTCGATTTTTGGCCAGGTTGATCTTCATCCCGGTCTCATTGCATGTGACAGCGAACGGATTACGTGTAAAGTGAAGGTTCGCAGCGAGGAAGCGAACATATTGGTGTCAGGTGTCATCTGTGAATAGCAAAATAACTCAATCAAACATCCTAAATGCAACAGTCTACACGCCGAGACTGCGTCTGTTGATCCAATCCGTAAAAATTCTGAACAGGAGAAGAAACAACACCGCAACTGGTGGAGACGCCTACCCTGAAAGTTATCATCTTTCTGCAAATAACCCGGATATAGATCCACGAGAAGCTGTATAAAGATTGAAGTCACTAGTAGCTGGTCCTGCACCTGATATTTAAGCGTCACTCTCAATAGCTTCGAACGGGTTAACCATACTCGCCAAAAAGTGTCAAAATGCAATCATCATTCCCTCATAAACTACGGATGGGGTAAAGAAGACTCTGAATAGATATTCCTACTAACCATGAACAAACAAGGATTGAAACAGTCATTAAAAAGTCGAAAATGTCGAACGGCAAACAAAACCCAAGCAAATGATGAAAACTAATCTGAAGACAGCAGAAAGTATTGTCGATTATCATGCTCCGTCTATAGAGTAAAGGACATGAAAAATTTGCATAAATACCTACGGGATCAATACAGATAATCCCCTCAGAGCTTTCGCTTGAGTTTGTAGTTAATGTTTCTATCAGTGAGAACTGCCTCAAAAGGCATTAAGAACTCTGTAATCGTCTGGTCTTGTTAATCAACTGTTAGGGTTCATGGCGCTTTCATGGATACCTTCACCGCTGAGACCGGTGCAATGCTAGGTGTGCAATTCTAGCTACTTGGAAGGCCGAAGTCGGAGGATTAATTGAGAACAGGAGCTATATTTTCTACTGTGCTACGTCGATCGAAAGTTCGCTACAAGACGTCAATATGGCAACGTTGGAAGAGTTCAGAGGTCAAGTTGCATAATGAGAAGCTTTACCAGCCCAACGCGGAAATACGGTAGGCTAAGGTTAAAGCGTCGGGGCCATCAAAGCACAGCGCTCGTGTATAGATGATGCCGAATATCCCCTTTCATTCAAGTCAGGCCCGATTTCATTTTATTTTTGACCGGGGTTGCTCAGTCGGTATGAATGCGTCAGACGATCTAGATCTGAGACGTTCCAGGTTAGATCTTTTTCCTTCTGAGATTGATAAATGAGTAATACTCTGTAGGAAGGAAGTGGGAAATTACACA